TTTTTTTTTTTTTTTCCTGCAAAGCGATCAGATTGAGATTAAACTTTTTTTTTTTTTTTTTTATAAGGAAACTATAAGTATCTGCATGTCTTTTTTTTTTTTTTTTTTTTGATTAAATAATTTGTTTGTTCATCTAAGTTTTTTTTTTTTTTTTTTTCGGTTTACTGGCATAATTAAACCTTCGTTTTTTTTTTTTTTTTTTTGAGAAAAGTTTGTAAACGGTAAACTGATATTTTTTTTTTTTTTTTTTTTTATGAAGTAAATTGATAGCTTTCAAAGTTTTTTTTTTTTTTTTTTCAGCTGTTTTATAGGTTGTCATATCTTGTTTTTTTTTTTTTTTTTTTAAATTAGAAATTCTCTTATGCAGTTCTAATTTTTTTTTTTTTTTTTTTTAAGTGCTGCTATTTTCTTCTCATTTGGTTTTTTTTTTTTTTTTTTAGAAATTTTGTATTAAATTATGTCCTTCTGAATGGATTGTGTTCTCCTACATTGTATTATGTTCTGTAGTGGATTATTTTTTTTTTTTTTTTTTTATGCTTTCCTGTATAGGACTATGTCATCTTTTTTTTTTTTTTTTTTTCCGGTATTGGATTATGTTAGTCTGTGTTTTTTTTTTTTTTTTTTTTTTATGGTAAATTATGGTAAATTATGGTAATTTTTTTTTTTTTTTTTTAAAGTATGGTAAATTATGGTAAATTATGGTTTTTTTTTTTTTTTTTTGGTAAAGTAAATTACTTTCCGGTGCTGCATTTTTTTTTTTTTTTTTTTCTGGAATTGACTGAGTGTTTTGGGTATCTTTTTTTTTTTTTTTTTTAAAGTGTCTTCTAAGTCTTATTCGCGAGGTTTTTTTTTTTTTTTTTTTATCAGCCTGTTTCGATATTCTGATTGGTTTTTTTTTTTTTTTTTTTTAAAGTTGGAGTAGCTAAAAATATGCGAGTTTTTTTTTTTTTTTTTTATTTCCTCGCATAAACACTGGCTAAATCCTTTTTTTTTTTTTTTTTTACAAAAAAGCGATAATGTCTCTTTAAAACTTTTTTTTTTTTTTTTTTATCGTTTCGCCATAATCTCTCTTGTGGTATTTTTTTTTTTTTTTTTTCTGACGACCTCAGAGACGTTTACGAAAACTTTTTTTTTTTTTTTTTTGGAGTTCGTTCTTTGATTTAGCGAAAAAGTTTTTTTTTTTTTTTTTTATAAACACTTTGTGGTTAGGATATTTGCAAATATAGGAGATTCGGTGACGCAAAATCCTGCCCTCAACGAAATGTATTTTTTTTTTTTTTTTTTGGCTGAGTCTGACACTCCCACAATCTTGATTTTTTTTTTTTTTTTTTTGGTACCCAATTTCTCCCATAAATTGTTTTTTTTTTTTTTTTTTTTTACATTTTAGGACTTTAGAGAGTTCGCGGCTTTTTTTTTTTTTTTTTTCCTGAATCACTAAAAAAAGTAGAAGCGTCTTTTTTTTTTTTTTTTTTTTTCCATGTTTTTATGTTAACATCAGCGGTTTTTTTTTTTTTTTTTTTAACCTTTGAGAGCAGCTATTACTTTTGTATGCTACTTACTGCGAAATTGATAGTTGAGCTTTAAATTTCTCTCTGTTTTTTTTTTTTTTTTTTATCTTGAGTTTCCTCCGTACAACTTTCTTTTTTTTTTTTTTTTTTTTCAATAGAGCTGTTTATCCAGGGAGGTGGGTTTTTTTTTTTTTTTTTTTTAATAGGGACAAAGTCAGAGTCCGCGACTTTTTTTTTTTTTTTTTTATGTTGCTAGTCATCATCAATATTTAGTTCTTATTAACCGAGCGGGAGGTCTGTATGGGAGAATCTTGACCGAGGTTTTTTTTTTTTTTTTTTTGCAGTGAGGTCTGTACCAGCGACCGAGGTTTTTTTTTTTTTTTTTTTACCGACCTAGCTCGGTTAATAAGATRBTTTTTTTTTTTTTTTTTTTTATATGCCAATTTTTTATATTCTTTGTATCTTTTTTTTTTTTTTTTTTCTAGATGCCGGTCTAGATGGGAAAATCYATTTTTTTTTTTTTTTTTTTCTCAGCCAATCAAATTCGTGAATTCGGTTTTTTTTTTTTTTTTTTTGACACAGCCATATAACAATGTCATTTACTTTTTTTTTTTTTTTTTTTATTACATTCAAAGCATGACTAGACCAGCATTTTTTTTTTTTTTTTTTAGTAAGCATTCAAATCCGAAAAATGTTGCTTTTTTTTTTTTTTTTTTCAGTGATCCATTTTACATGGAAATTCAAGTTTTTTTTTTTTTTTTTTTGGGGTTCATTAACATGATTTATAGGCCCCACGATGATGCTGATGGGAAATGTAAGGATAACTACAAGACTTCATTTTTTTTTTTTTTTTTTTTAGATTGCGTAGAAATTTTGCTTTAGCACTTTTTTTTTTTTTTTTTTTATTGTCGTTGTCCTATTCCTACAGATATATTTTTTTTTTTTTTTTTTGCTGTTGAAATAAACCCTGTAGTAAAATTTTTTTTTTTTTTTTTTTTTCCGAACTTCAATGTGCGTATTCTCCACATTTTTTTTTTTTTTTTTTGTAAGTTGCTGACAAAGGGAATTGACAAGTTTTTTTTTTTTTTTTTTGTGATCTTTCCTTCATTTTCCTGGCCTAATTTTTTTTTTTTTTTTTTATGCTAGTCATCAAAAGGTTAAAAGAAGCTTTTTTTTTTTTTTTTTTATAGCATTTCGAACTTAGCTCCTTCATTGTTTTTTTTTTTTTTTTTTTATGTAAATTTCATCTGTCTCCGTTCATACATTATCGATGACACAATAGTTGTTCACCGGAATTTGATTGATCAGTTTTTTTTTTTTTTTTTTTTTCAAGAGAGTTTCTAAACTAAAGTTTTGTTTTTTTTTTTTTTTTTTTCGTGGTTAAATGCGAAAGCTAGTGTAGTTTTTTTTTTTTTTTTTTTTGTCAGTGCCTTGAACCAAATGCATAACTCGGTAAACATACATTGGACGAGTATAGGGTAGTGCCATAGATCTGCTTTTTTTTTTTTTTTTTTTGCACTGAATGAAGTGCATCCAAAAAGTAATTTTTTTTTTTTTTTTTTATATATAAATAGAATAATTTGGATCTTCGTTTTTTTTTTTTTTTTTTGAAAAGATTTGATTGAAGACGGAGAGTAGTTTTTTTTTTTTTTTTTTGCTAAGGTCGGTCTCATCGTCGCCCTTGTTTTTTTTTTTTTTTTTTTCATGTCTTAGCTTCGAAGGATATTTTCCATTTTTTTTTTTTTTTTTTATGTTTGATTTTTGACTTAATTTGTTATATTTTTTTTTTTTTTTTTTGACAGCAAAAACAGGCAATTCTTAGTAGTTTTTTTTTTTTTTTTTTTATCTCTTCGTGACTTACAATAACAACGTATTTTTTTTTTTTTTTTTTTCATGCATTCATAACCTACAGATGTTTGGTTTTTTTTTTTTTTTTTTTACCCTCCCCCCCATTATGGATAATTGTTTTTTTTTTTTTTTTTTTTAACCTATTGAGATCAAAATTTATGTTAATTTTTTTTTTTTTTTTTTTAATTGACTGGCGTAAGTGATTAAAAGCGGTTTTTTTTTTTTTTTTTTTGTTTATGAGGGTCTCTAAAGGACGAATATTTTTTTTTTTTTTTTTTTATGCTTTTTGCGATTTTACAACAAGAAATTTTTTTTTTTTTTTTTTCCATGCACCGCCATACTGCGCTCGTATTCTTTTTTTTTTTTTTTTTTAGTTAGGTATAAGTACTACTTTTTCAATCTTTTTTTTTTTTTTTTTTAATAGACTTGCTTATTTCCTAATACGACTTTTTTTTTTTTTTTTTTTGAATTGAACTACAGCGCTGCCATCGTATATTTTTTTTTTTTTTTTTTACTACGTGAGTGGATTTTAGCAGTGTGGGTTTTTTTTTTTTTTTTTTGATTGTGGAGCATTTTCCTGGCGAATAGCTTTTTTTTTTTTTTTTTTATTAATACCAGAAGTTACGTTCGTTTTGGTTTTTTTTTTTTTTTTTTCGTCGCCTGGCTGATACTTGTCTACGGTATTTTTTTTTTTTTTTTTTGCAGTGCTACCGTGGGCCACCTTGTTCTGCTTGAAACGATTTGATTTACATAGTCTGCAAGAACAACGCAACTTAATATTAAGGAAAATGAACACACACTTCAACAGATAGTTCTTTTTACCATTTTTTTTTTTTTTTTTTAGAGTGACAATAACTCTCAAAAAAGAAACTTTTTTTTTTTTTTTTTTTTATAAGACATGTTTCGACATTCTCATGTTTTTTTTTTTTTTTTTTTAGCTTTTAACGGTTGCATATTGAATTTATTTTTTTTTTTTTTTTTTTTTACGTGTCAGGGCTTACTTTTCAATTTGTTTTTTTTTTTTTTTTTTAAAAGAAACAACAACTTTGAGTTTAAATTTTTTTTTTTTTTTTTTTTATTCTCATGTCATCTTCAGTTGCAAATGAGCATTTAACTGTTGTACATTTGAATTTAAATTAGGGTACGTTACAAACTACGTGTCAGTGCTTACGTTACATTTGAATGTTAAAAACGCGAAAGATGTAAATAGTGCGCGCTTGACTAGATCAAAAAATAAATAGATAAATAAAAAAAAATAGATAAATAAAAAATAAATAAATAAATGTAATAATAATAAAAATAAATTAAAAGACCAAGTAAAAGACCAAGGAACAACATCATTAAAAGGAAAGAGACAATTCTAGATGTTTCAATTGCTGATTAAGGATAGGTTTTTCCCACTTAATATGCAATGCCTCTTTGATCTTAATTTGGTATTTTGAGGGGGCAGAATCTAAGATCGTGAAACATTCAGTATCACAACATTCAGTATCACGCGCGCTATTTACATTTTTCGCGTATTTAATATTCAAATTGAAACGTAAGCCCTGACACGTAATTTGTAACGTACCTTAATATAAATTCAAATGTACAACCGTTAAAAGCTCATTTGCAACTGAAGATGACACGAGAATATCGAAACATGTCTTGTAAATTTAAACTGAAAGTTGTGGTTTTTTTTTTGAGAGTTCTTTTTCTTTTTTGCGAAGACCAAAACACCACTCGACAGTTGAAAAGTACCTCTTTTGGCAATTACTTTACTACTAATCATGTAGACCTCTGTTGACTATAATCACTCAACTATTGACAAAATACTATATCTACTTGGCTACTTGTGGGAACGTATTCCACCTAAAAAAAAAAAAAAAAATCCCAAAACCCAAATTCTACATAAATAATCTTATTAAAAACTGAGTTTTTTTGGCATTATATAGATTGAGACTTTTCATCTTTGTTTTTCTTCTTCATGATGATAACAACCATCTGATGATAATAATATTTATCAAAACGATTCAAGTACAAATCAACGTAACGCTTACCAGAGTAAATGCCATTACGCCTTAACACACAGCATTTATAAGAAACTACCAAACCCCATGACAGTCCCCCTCCCATCTCTACCATAATCGAAAGAGAAACGTACCTTTTGTGTGCAATGATGACGCAGATAATTGCTGCGACAGCTACACAAGCGATTATTGATGCCAGCACATAGATATTGACACTTTCTTCATCTGGTTTGAAAGAGGAACAATAATATAGTGGGATTTTAGAGTCTTCGATTACTCAAAAAGGACCCCCCTCCTGGAAATTCAGCGTTGGGAAATTAAGATCATTAAAATCTGGAGACATTTGAATGAACAATAACTCTGTTTTTGAACATCACAGAACCCCCGCGAAAAATGTTACTTGCACGATTGAAATAATTAGATAAATCTCCACAACTCTTATTTCCCGAGCGTAAATTAAAATTTTATGCTGTACACAATTCGGGTTTTTGCTGCTGTTAAAAACCGATTTATACGAAGGAAAACTGGAATTCGATACAAACCCCGTTTGCAACAAATATCTATTTGTTTTTTTGTTTTTTGTTTTTAAACCCAGATGGAACTTAACAAATCACACAACTCTAACCTGTATACAGTAGGTCAGTTGTTTTGGTTTTGTTTTGGGATTTCGAGTAACCTCATCAGCGGAATGCAAATTGATGTCAGCCAGCTTCTTTGCATTATATATTCACCCGGTAAGGAGCAAATTATCTTTCATAGCGCAGTAAAAAACAAACTAGGCCGACTCGCCAAGGTCGTTGAGTGTGCATAATCAATTATTGTTGACATACCATCAGAACAGTCTTTGCTCGAAGTTGCCCCAACGTTTAACGTTGATTTTTGTTCTCCGCATGCTGTACATACAGACTGTCCTTCCTTATCCTGGTAGGTGCCTTTATCACAAGGTTTACATCTGGAACTGCCTTGATCGTGGAAGGTACCCACGAGACAGGCCACTGGAGGAATTGTAGAGAAGACAGTTGTTCAGATTTGTTATTTTCACCGTAATAAAATGACAAAATTAGTTAAATTGGTTTTTTTTACACGGTTGGATGCATCAGAGGATATATCAGAGAGTATACATAAGGAAAAAAACAGATTTCAGTAGGTCTCATTCGAAATTCGGGCCGCAGATGAGCCGAACGCTCTCCCTGAAGTGACCCGTACGCCAATTTTTTTTCATTTACTCTACTTTGACATCAACGAGACAGTCACAGAAAGAGAATTGAATGGATCTGTTAATCAGACGAGGAAAATAACGCAGTAGTGAAGAAGAAAGAAAATGGAACAGTAAACGATTTTGAAGCCTGAACCGAGGCTGGAGCAACTGAAACGCAGGCCATTTATCAAATATTCTTTTTTCCCGAATACTAGCGAGGCTCATATCAGGCAGACTCAGACATGTTTGATTAAAGCCTAGTGCAAGTGTCTGCCGAGAAGCAGTGAAATTAATGATATCAAATTAATACCACTTACCACATCCTTTCCCATCCCTACTCTTAAGGAAACCTGCACTGCAAGTAACGCTGGATCGGAGAACTTGAAAAGATGATTTATCAGCAGTCATGTTCATTCCCTTAAAGCTGATCACGAATTGCCCTGTGGCCACTGCGCTTCTCATTTGGAACAAAACTGCTTCACTTTTTTCTTCCACCTCGTATTCGTATGTATTAACAGATTTAGAGACAATCAGTGAGACAATAACTTCCGTGGCTTGTTCTACTGCTCTCTTCCTCTTAGTCGCTGATATTTCACATCCGGGAACTTCGACCTCTTGCAATTGGCATGTCTGGCATCCTGGGACTGTGAGAAGTGTGTCACTAGTTTCACTTTCGATCGCAGTGCGCAGTTCTTTATGGTTTTGGCTGCTGCACTGCATTCCAGGGAATTTTAACGCGAAATCGTGCTCTATTTCTTTTGGTGGTGCCTTTCCTGTGACAAAAATTACATAGGATAAGTCCTTGAAGCTAAGAGAGATATTTGGCCCTATTACTTTCAGCTGGTTTGGTTATAACTCCCTATTTTGATTGCCAAAAGGACAACGTACAATATCGTTGAAAAATTGGGAAATAAAGCTGTTTTTTTTTTTTCAATTAAATGGATTTATTAGAGTTCCCTACGGCTGAGGACAAAGGAAATCTTTCCAAAGAAATGTAAAAAGGAGAAAGGTTTGTTTACGCACGTAAACAAGTTGATACTTCTACTTCATCCATGCTGTTCCATTTCCAATCAGATTCAGGCCCGCAGGTATATTGACTTATTGCTTCTTCACTGAAAGAGAACCCTTCATCGCACGAGAAGATGCACAGCATTTGTCCAGAAACCTTACGACAAGAGCTTTTACCATTCGTTGGCTGTTTCAAATCTGGGCACTCTGCCAAGAAAAGATTGAAAATTTATTTCCTATTAAAAACCATCTTATCAGTACATATAGAGTTACTTAGGGGTTTCAAAAGTTCACATTGTAAAGTTGAGATTATCAGAAGCAAGTGAGCAGCATGCAAATGTTCACTACAACTGCATAATCTAAGGCCCCATTCTACAAGAAAGAGCCCAGGTTCTTGAGAGGGAGGTATCAAATTGAAAGTTTCACGATAACACTATCCCTGTTTTGTACTGCATCTGAGACTCGGGAGTCAGCAAGTTATTAGGCTTCTCTATCACTATTATCACAACTAGTAACAGGTGTCATCCCTAAAGTCTTACCTTCTTCACTTATGATCTTCTTTTCGCAGCTGTCACCATAATAGCCCTCGTTGCAGATGCACTCAAAATGGCTTACTGCATCAACACACTTTCCATTCAGACAAGAATTTTGGCTGCAGTCGTTAATGTTAACATTGCAGTGATCTCCGGTAAATCCGGCTTGACAGCTACAGTAGTAAAATCCATCGCGAGACTCGCAGTGTAGGAAGTGTGAGCAGTTAGTTGTGCACATTTTCAAAGCTATGGGCAAAGGAGCATAAGACCAATTCACTCTCCAAAATTAACATATCTTATTATTATTTTGTGAGATCTCAAAATAAGAAGGGAACTGAAGTTAATTAAAAGGATCTAATTTTTGTGCGCTGTTAAAGTCGCGATTAAAGCCATGAGATCAGACGTGGAGCGAAACAGATTTTACTCTGCAGTGAGTCAGGCCTTTCACGTCTCGGGAACGCGACTGTGGATTTGGTAAGGGGAAACAGCTGATACATAATCTGAGCATATTATGCAATTACCGGGAGAGAGAGGGGCATACGAGAGTAAGCATAGCGAAGCAATTCCTTCGCACTACGAGCTATTCCCCTGTTGTTCTTGTATATTGTCGCATTTTCTTCTGCCATTTTTGGGTTGATGAAATAAACAATTTTTAATATAAGAGAAAAATCGAGTTTCCAGATGGGATTTGAACCCCCGACCCTCCGTGATCTTTGGGGGCTGGTTGGCTGCATGTGATGCTTTAATGTGACAGCGTGATGCTGTTAGTGAGCTTCTATGCGCTAGCTGATGTTTGGCTGTCTAGCCGCGTGATGCGGCTCCAATCAATACCCACTAATTGACCCTTTGCTCACCATAGAGTCTCCTGTAGCTCAGTGGTTAGAGCATCCGACTAGATCACGCAGGGTCGTGGGTTCAAATCCCATCTGGAAACTCCATTTTTGGACTGCACCGAGTATTCATTATTGTTAAATGTATGCCATGTGAGTAGACTAGAGACATTTATATCTCTGATTTGAGTTTGGAAGATACCAAATACCTTTACACTGGGTCATAAATCTCTTTTCTACTTGTCCTTTTATGCCTGGGAGAAAGCTACTCCAAGCTCTTAGACTTCCTGCAATGGGCCAGCTGCAGTCGTGAGCGGCATTCCACATGTGGTCGCGCGTCGCTGCAACATTCCAAATGCTCACTTGATGAAGTCTTCCTACAAATGCCGAAGAAAGAGCTGCAATCTTTTCTTCTGCAAGGTACCGCTGACCAAGAACAATCCATCCACCTCCTGTGATGATTTCCTCGGTTTTTACATTGCTTACTTTCTTAATTTCCATTCCATCGATATATACGGACGTACTTCCAAGGCCTCCATCCCATGTGACTCCAACAAAATGCCAGCTGTCATCTGCTAATCTAAAATCAGCCCTTAATTTCCAATACGATTTGAGATTCTATATAGGATAGTATTATTATGTCTTCTGGATTCTCAGGAACGCTGTAGCTGAACAATGTCCCGGATGTGTACTTCGAGTCTGCTCGCACAAACTGTGCAATCGTGAAGCCAATCATGCTTGGGATATTTTTTCCATCTGGTAAGAAAACCATGTCCTTTGATGACTGTCGTTTGAATAGGAGGTCGAAGTTGCTGCCAAGGACTAGAGAAAAAAGTAATAGAACTTGAGACATGTTTTCATAGCAATCCTTTTAGTTTTGTTACAATCAGTGGGTGTTTGTTTTTGTTGTCTTCGTTTCTTTGGTTTTTTTTTCCGTGTTAAACTAAAGAGTCTGTTAGCTATAAATACACCTCTCAGTGTCCTGGGGATGAGAGAAGGAAAGGAAAGCGTTCTTGACACTGGATTTATCGTCTTCTCTAACACAGACTTATATGTACATTAGCCACAGGATTAATTTGATCATATAAAGAAAAATATTCATAATTCTTACAGATCTCACAGTTATCTCCTGAGTAGGAAGGGAAACATTCGCATCTGTAGTCATTCACCAGGTCGATACAAAAAGCGTTCGCTTTACAAGAATCTGGGGTACAGTCATCAATGTCCACTTCGCATGCAATTCCGGTGAAACCGCTTAAACAATAGCAAGTGTAGTTTCCTGTAGAATTGTCAGCATTGCATGTTCCTCCGTGTTGACAGGGGGCTGACCGGCAGACATCGAGTAGATTTTCACAGTTTTCTCCATAGAACTGATCAGCACACGAGCAGTTGTATCCAGGAGTCAAATCGGTGCAGGTACCATTGTTAGAACATGGACTCGACTCGCATTCATCAATCTCTGTCTGACAGTAGGTCCCATTGTAGCCAGCTGAGCATTCACAGGAATACCCAGGGGTTTCGTCAATGCAAGTTGCATTGTTTAGACAGGGGTTCTCCTCACAGTCATCGATGTCAACTTCACAGTACTTTCCCGTGAACCCATCCAAGCAGGAACAAGTGAAATTGCTTTTGGCATCATAGCAGGTAGCATTATTAAAGCACGGCCCCACCAGGCACTCATCAGTTTCAAACTCGCAGTATTTTCCATAGTACCCAGTACTACAGTTGCAATAATATTCTGTACGAGAGTTGACACAGTATCCATTTCCAGTGCAATTAGACTCTCTGCAGTAATCAACGCGCTTCTCACAGTGTGAGCCACTAAAGCCTTCTGGGCACAAACAAGAGTAGTTCGCTACTAGATCTAAGCAGATACCATCATTTACACAAGGATGTGATTCACAATCGTTCATATTGGCTTCGCATTGACCGCCTGTAAACCCAGTCGGGCAAACGCAGGTAAAGCCGTTGACCTGAAGAAAAATGAAAAGAAATGAGCCAATTTAACTGTATTGTTTTGTTTGCTAAGATATTTCACTTTTAAGGCCTCGATACAATTTACTCTCGCGCTTGTACAGGAAGTCGTTTGATAAATATGAGCTCTGAAATGTACAACTATTTTTGGTGTAACATTTAAGGTTTTTTAATTTATCATTTTATTTGACTTGAACTTACTTCGGATACCCCAACCTAAACCTTTGTTAACAGTTACCTATGCGGAATTTTCAATTAAGTCTACGTAAAGTTTTCCGCACGCTTTGGACTTGGGCCATAAATCCGAGTGAAAATCTCAGTCCCTAACTTTCAGTTCGGACCTAGATCTTGGTTAATGAGAGGTATAGAAAGATTACTAGTTTCATAAAAGAGGGTGAAAAGCTCTTGTAGATAGCTTACTTTATCAAAACATTTTCCGCTATAATAACAAGGGAAAGAAGCGCATTCATCAATCTCAACATCACATGAGACGCCAGTGAATCCAGGCTCACAGTGGCAAGTGTAACTGTTTATTCCATCTACGCATGTGGAATGGTTACTACATGGACTTAGGTGGCAATCATCAATGTCAAATTCCCAGTGCCGTCCGCTAAATCCATCTAGGCAGACACACGTGTAGTTTTCCACTCTGTCGACGCAAGTAGCATTATTGTAACAAGGAGAAAGGGAAGAACATTCGTCGATGTTAACGCTGCAGTTCTTTTCAGTATATCCCCGTGCACAAGTGCATCTGTAGTCATCGATCATGTCGGTACATATTCCATCGTTCAAACATGGATTCTGCTCACATTCATCAATGTTTACTTCGCAGTTGGCACCGGCAAACCCCTCGGCGCATGCGCATCTGAATTCAGCTATGCCGTCAAGGCAGGTGCTATTATTCATGCAGGTGGAATTTTTGCAATCGTCCACATTAGTCTGACACTGCTCTCCATCAAAACCATCAGCACATTCACAGGTGAAGAAAGTAATACCATCGAAACATGAACCGTTGTTAAGACATGGAATCGAGGCACAGAAGTCGATGTCCACGTTACAAGTTTTACCAGTGAAACCTGGCGGACATACGCACGAAAATCTGTTTACGCCGTCCTTGCAAGATCCGTTGTTGGAGCAAGGACTTGTGGCACAATCATCAATATTGTTCTCGCAGTGTAAACCAACAAAACCACCGGGACACTTACAGTTATATCCGTTGACCATGTCCAAGCATGTAGCCTGGTTCTTGCAAGGGTTGGAAAGACACTCATCGATGTTAATCTCACAGCTCTCACCGGAGAAACCTTTGTTACAGAAACAAAAGAAGTCATCGACCTCGTCGATGCACGTTGCATTGTTTTGGCAGTCTGCACCCACGCAGTCGTCAATGTTGTACTCCCAATTCGTCCCATTGAAACCTACAGGACAACTACAACGATAACTATTGATTCCATCTAGACATATGCCTCCGTTTTGACAGGAAATGTTCGCACAGTCGTTGATGTTTTCGTCGCAGTTATTCCCTTGAAAACCCAATGCACAGAGGCATTCGTAATAGTTTATTTTGTCTGTACACTTGGCTCCATTCTGACACGGAGATGTCAGACATTCATCAATGTCCTCATCACAGAGACTACCACTATAACCAGGCTCACACTCGCATCTGTATCTCCCTGGGAGGTTTTCACATGTGGCATTCTCAGGGCACGGTGAAGAAATGCACTCATCTATATCTTCGTCGCAGTTAAATCCTTGATACCCTTGAGCACAGGAGCAAGTGTAGGTGTTTACGAGGTCATGACACGTGCCATTGTTGAAACAAGGCTGGTCTTGACATTCATCAATGTTGATGTCACATTCCTTTCCGGTATAACCCGGTAGACAAGAGCACAGGAAGTCTCCAATGAGGTCAGTACAGGTGGAATTACTTTTACATGGGCTCGAGTAACATTCGTTGATTTCTAAAACAAACAAATAAAAAAAAGAAAAATGAATAATGGAGTACAGAAATTAAAGTAGAAATGAAAATAGTTTTGTTCACCTCAGCAATGGAAGTAAACCACGATCGACAGCCATCGTCCTTGCAACCTATAATATGGAATTTCTTTCTAAAAATGCATGTACACATCCACTATGATTCAACTACCTCCTCGGGAATTAACTGATGACAGCCGCAGTCTTGGCTGAAATGTCTCGATTTTTTCTAGGTCTCATTGTGCTTGTATAGAGCGAGCTCTAAAATTCAAATATCTCCTCACTATAAATAATGATCATCAAGATTCAAATGCTCAAATGTTTCAAGCACCTTTTGCTTGGGTAAAGGGATAGAAGCAATGCTTCTTAAGTGACGAAATTTGCTCAACAAACCTATGCAATCTTGGGGATTTCTTGAACCAGGATTTCTGGTCACAGTCGTCCCGGGGCATAGGAAACACGCGCGACTCTCACTTAGTGGTTGGAATGAACGCCGGTCGCATGAATTGCAAGGAGCCAGTCCAGTTGGAGAAAATGACCCAGGAGAGCACGGAACTGTGGAAGCAATGAAAATGATAATAAATACTCTAAATCACGACACACGTACGTACTTGATAACCTATTAATTCCACACAGACAAGCAGACAGACTTACAGACAGACAGAAAGACAAAGAGACCAACAAACAGACAGACCAATAGACAGGCCGACAGAACGGCCAACAGACAGACCGACAGAAGACCGACAGACATACTGACAGGCAGACTAACAGACAGACCGACGAACCGATCGACCAACTTACTCGACCGACCAACCGTTTGACACACAGACCGAAAAAAATACAGATGGATAGTGGGACTGATTGACGAGGGCGAGGGCAAATGTTCCAAATTATTAACCGTCAATTTTTTTTGTACGATTCTGCTGGAAATTTTGTTAGTAAAACATTTCGGGGCAATGATGCATTAAAATTCATTAATAAGTTAAATATTAGCTCGAAGGTCATGGCATCGATCAGCAAAGCTTTCCACCAGTCTTACGTCGTCAGTCCTTCGGCGATAATCTAGTTTTATCGTAAAATATCAAGTCCTATAAAAAAGTTGATAGGTGCATTATTAGGAAAATACATGTGCCCCACGAAATGGACTAATCTGTTACTTAGGCTATGAAAGCATATTTTCAATGTGGCACAAATGAGTTAACCAACGCCAGCGGTTTCTCTGACCCTTTTGGACCTCAAATGCTGCGTAAGTTTCAACGAGACTCTTTCCTCCGTTGGAAATTGAATTCGTTCTAGAATACCTCCACATTGCGTAGAGCTGTTGGATCCTTCAGCAGGAGTTGTTTCGTTGACACCACATTTCAAGCAGTGGCGCTGTCCTTCCTTCTCCTGATATAGGCCTTTGTCACAGACAAAACAAGGCTCTAGTCTGGTTGGCGAGAACGAACCAGCTTTGCAGAGAGCTTGTAACCAAAGAAAAAGCAACAAGGCTTGAAAACAGTTGAGGTTAAAATAAAAAAGAATAAACAGACCCTGGCATCTAACTCAAAATACAAAAAAATGGATGGTTCCAACCTCTTTCGCAGGAGATGATTGAGAAAAAAGATGAGATGTAGGCTGTCAATATACATATAAAGTATCGAAATTCCTAAATGATCTATTTTAGTTGGCAAGAGAATGCATCGAAAAAGGATACTAGAAAGCTTAGATAAAGATGTTCATTGCTCTTAATGGAAAACACTTTTTAACATAACCTGGGTTACCTGGCATACCAGATAACATAGCATTCATAGCCTTCCGTCGGTTACCCGCTTCAAATAATACATTACCATACTCTCTGCCCTATTAATTACAGTTTTTTACCTTCTTTTGTGCGTGTGTTTTTGTTTTTGTCGTAAGAGTGACTAAAGCATGATTAGCTACCTAAGCAGCTGGAACGGTTTCCTGTTCTGGATTCTGTTGTCGAAGTTTTCGGTGGACATGCCAAACAGCGTTCTTGTCCTTCATCCTCTTGATATGTTCCAATGGGACAGTCCTCGCAACTTTGAGTTGTCTTATTCAAGTAAGTTCCAACTGTGCAGTTTACTATTCGATAAAATGTCTGAAATTAGTGAGTAATTATTGGGGGAGGCTGGGCGGGATATCATGATTTGTCAATGGCCTGCAGACCATAATTATTCCCTTCGAACCCAGAGACCGAGACATATGACGTTCGGTAGGACACAGGAGAATTACATTATTTTGCAATAACCAAGTTCAATTAATGTTTTTACATGCATTTTCCTAATTTAAACACTTCTAGCAGGCAGTTGTCCATAATTCGTGATTAGCCCTCTGTGGGTTATTTAGTTGGCCTTAAGCCAAAGTATGGACGTAAATGCATCGAATGGGAGAAGGAAAAGTCTTCGAAGATAGAAGTATACAATTATCACAAATTTGTATTGCGATAATTTCTGAAATTAAAAACTTTTCGTAGTGAGCCCACATTTGCCTGATGAAAGGATGTTTGCTGTAAAAGGCTTTCCAATCAAGTTATAACGTGTAAAAAAGATATTTTCTTTAACTCATGTTATCATAGCTCGCCTGTCGAGTTGTTGGTACGATCACTGAGAAATAAGTTCACAATAGGAGGTTCTCACTCATATGACTGACGAATATACTTTCCAATGATATTAAAGAACACGTTTGTAAAGTAAAAAATTACACTACGCTAAGCTAACAATCAGAGCGTAAGTGTAATAATTTTGTCAATGTCGGCTTTGTCGTAAAACTGAGGTCGTTGCCGATTTGATTGTAATTATCTTGAGATTTCATTCGCTTATCCTCATACTCAAATCAGTGATGATTGTGGAAAGGAGTGGCGCCGACTTACAACAATATCCGTCTCTATAAACTTGTCCTCTGCTATAAACACATGTGGGTTCGGAGATGTTTAGCGACTGTTTATCAGGTTTGATATTAGTGCCATTGATGCTGAGAACTAGGCTGTCGTTATTGACTGCACTTTTGAGCTGAATACTCATGTTCTTGGCGACTTTCATGCCTTCCTCTCCCACCATAATCTGGCCCTCCTTAGACCCGTTAGCTTGAATGCCATCAAGGTTTACTGTAAGTTAATAGTTAAAAAAAAAAAATAAAGAAAAATAAATCGCAGGCTTGTAACAAACAAACTGACAAAAAGCAGGATATAGTTAAATAACAAACAGTTAACTCCTGGTTCCTAGGGAACCACTCCAAAATGAGGCAAAGGCATTACTTTCCAAAACGAGGCCAAGAGGCAAAGATCTCCTCTTATAACAAAAGTTTTAAACTCCACAACCAACCAAAATATGCTAAAAAAGCACAAACACAATCTCTGAGGTAAATAAACTAAAACTTTTGCTTTAAAAAGAATGCACATGTGAAATCTTAAGTGTAAAAGGATGGAATGAATAAATAAATGACTGAAATAGATAAATGAAATACATGTATGTTTATATGTATTCATCTGAACCTCGAAAGGAGGGGGATTTAGAGCTCGAAATTACATAGTTCGAGTTACATATGTTAAAACCTACCCACAATATCAACAGTAATTACTGCGCGCGAAACGGATCGTCGTTCTCTGTCATGATGACCATCGTTAACTGCAATGATAAAACATAAATGCAAGATTGAAAAAAAAGATGAGACAAAAGCTTGCCACCCTTAGAAAGTTATGCACGGTACTTTGCTGTTTTCGAAAAAAGTATCGATTCTTACATTAAAAATGCAAATGATATGTGAAAATCGACAAATTGGCGAGTCGAAATACAAGGCATTTGAGCGTGACGAATGTTTGTGATTAGTTTTGGTCCAAAAAATCTGCACCGGTTTACTGTACTTTTTGATGGTGCTAGTATCATAGACGGCCATCATAATTTCAAATATTAAGTTATTTAGATACCAGGTATTTCTTTCATCGTCCCAATAAAAAGAAAAAATGCTTAAATAGTGGACGAGGCATGACACTTGTGTTTGCATTTAGGATTAGTAACCGTTTACACTGGTAAAAATATTTTGCTACTACGTTTATTCCAAACGGAAATTTCCATCGGCCGTAACTAGCACACAATGCAGTTTCAATCCTATCAATCCTATCTTCAAAAACAAGTCGTCAAAAATCCAGACCTGTTCTTAAAACAGCGTACATAAATAGGTCTCGTTTTCTCCTGAAGTTGGTAGATTCGACATCAGCACACGTGACTTTAACGTTTTCTGCTGTGCACTTGTCTTTGAGTGCTGGGTCTTGGCAGACATCATTGAAATAAGATGTATTCAGAAGCCAGATGAAGTTCTGTGCTATTTCTGCTTGAGCCTCTGGCGTACCGCAGTCACCAGTAAAGTAATGTAAATGCATCGCCATTCGAACAGAACCAGTTCGATAAACTACTGCAAAAGTCAAATACCAAATGGAGATTAGACGAGCCCCATACCAAATAGACCATGATGACTAATCACGCCCAGCAGTCTTTCGCTTGTAACGGGGCTATTTGGGGCTTGTTAACGCCTTCAGCATAGGAGCCCCTATTTTTTACGTTAGATAGACTCTTTTCATCTTAATTTTCTAACCTGAACAATCCGGGAAGCGGTTTCTGGGAAACCACGAGCCTGAGGACCCGCAAACCCATACACTATCTCTGAGCTCTTGGGCAAAGTCCCAACGGTCGTTGCAAGAAGGCGAACAAAAAGTTCCGAATACCCAGTCATCACATGCCTTGGCTCCATTCTTGGGTGGACTTAGATCCGGACAATCTTTCGCTGGTTAAAAAAAAGAACGTCAGGCAGAGTCTGAAATATTTCATTTTCCAACAAATGGCAGTCTCACTCGTTAAATATTAAAGAAATTTTTTTACTATCATAACCAAGATAGCAACTGCAGTTTTTTAACGTAGTCGAAGGTGACCTCATTCGACGGAATTAGGCAGATGTTTATTACCACTATTTCAACTACTGTTACTAGTATTTTTACTGCTATTACTGGTACTACCTCTACTGCACATGCGAGTAAGCATCTACTTGTTTTAACTAGCTTTCCGTACGGACTTGTTTTGAGTTCATCAACTTATAAAAAGGCCATGTTCTGTTGGATACTTATTATCAAAATCTTTTTTTACGAATAGTTCCCCGAAATGCCGAAAAATGCATTAGCTACTTACGTTTTATAGTTAACGTAAACTGACAGAGAGCCGGTTCGTTATTTGGGTTGTTGTCTTGGGCCGTACAATGTACATTCCAGGTTCCCCAGTAAAACTCGGTACCACTCTGGTGACTGCACTTAATAGTCAATGGGTCATTGCTGTTGTCTTTAAACTGTGGTTCTTTCCATGTCACCTCTGTTTTCAACGATGTGGTGGTAATACTTTGGTCCGCAGGACAGTAAACAACTTCAGGACTTAATTCATCTATCACGAAGAGGAAAATACAAGTTAATTCCGGATTACAAATATGAAGGAAATACATTGAGCACAAAAACAAATAAAAAAGAAAATATTTTTACGATTCATAACACAGTCGACTTTGAATGAACTATATCTAAGAGAAAGAAGTTGAAAATACAACTAATGCTTGAGTAAGCAGACTTACCAAACTTGCAAACTTTGAATTTTCTTTACGATAACATTAGAATCGAAAAGTAAACGCTGAGATGCTGTTCTCTATTTGGCTAAATAGTTTTCTTCGAAACATTGCCACAAAACAAAAAATTAAAGCGAGGAAAAATACTTGAAGCTGGCTTCTGATAACTACCTATATCTTGACCATTCGCCAGACCGCGCTTGTTTATGACCTCATCCTAAGCCTGCGATTTTACGGGTCTCGGCCTCGCCTTAAAAAAAGGGGCTNTTCGGTGAATATTGTCGAATAATCCCCTCGACTTCGTCTCTGGGATTATTCGACGATATTCACCTCACCTTCGGCGAATAATTGTTAAATATAATTCTTGGACTTGAATAGAGCACTGAACTCTGAGAGGAGCAGTAATAATAATAATGATGAATGGTAGCAAAATTTCAGGTCATCGTTTTAATGCGACAACGCTGTTTCGTATGGTCATAGAATGACGATATCAATTCGTTGACATTGCCTGATGAGTGTGGTCATCAGCTTTGCTTTCATGTCCAAATTGAGCACTCTATCTAGGAAGAGTCATTGCCGTTGCAATTGCGCATGCTCGCTAGTTTACTCTAGTTTGAGCACTCTGGCATGGCTTAGACGATACCACAAAGGTTGGGTCGTTTGGGGTGACCGTCTCGGTTCTCCCCCATCCTAGCATTAGCACTGCACTGATGAGGCCCAGAAGGCCGAAACAGTACTGTGTTCTATATCTGGTGGAGGAGGTGCATTAGCAGGCTGTATAGTGCTGAATACATAAAGTAGAGCGTAAATGGAAATAGTAAAATCAACAACGAAACAAAGTTTCCGTCACTCGTAGTTTCATGCTTTCGCAATCATCAGCCCGTCTGAAGATTGCGAAAGCATGAAACTACAAGTCACGGAAAATTTTTTACGTTGTTGGATTTTTAGTTTTTAATTTCTATGTAAATACGTTCCACCTGAAGAAGGCCGAAGGCCGAAACGTCGCCACATTAAAGCTGGAACAGTTAGAAGTTTGCTTCATGTTTCATCATTTTACACTTACTTATATATATATAGGAGAAGTACTGTGGCACACGAGGACGGACAACTTCAAGCGAAGGAAGACATATACTCAATAAAAAGTCTAAAAAGTTTAATAAAAAAAAACGTTTCGGTCCGAGACCTTCATCAGTTGTAATACAATGACTTAAAAGTTTCTTAAATAGATTTAAATAGGGCGTGGTAACACATATAAACAAACACAGTAATTACCACGCGAAAAATTATCACTATAAAAAGAAATGGAAAAATTGTCGAATGCAGTGAAAATGTAAAGGAACCAGCGTTGGCTTGAAAGGTGAGAATTGCACTAAAATTCCCAATTAACGCTAAGACTGGAACCTTTGATGCCCGCCCAGTTTGAAAAAATTCTCCGCATTATAGTTTATTCTTTTTTTGGAGTGAAATTCCTGGCGCTTCACTCCAAAAAAAGAATAAACTATAATTAATGCGGAGAACTTTTTCAAATTGGACGGGCATCAAAGGTTCCAGTCTTAGCGTTAATTGGGAATTTTAGTGCAATTCTCGCCTTTCAAGTCAACGCTGGTTCCTTTACATTTTCAGTGGATTCGACAATTTTTCCATTTCTTTTTATAGTGATAATTTTTCGCGTAGTAATTACTGTGTTTGTTTATATGTGTTACCACGCCCTATATAAATCTATTTAAGGAATTTTTAAGTCATTGTATTACAACTGATGAAGGTCTCGGACCGAAACGTTTTTTATTAAACTTTTTAGACTTTTTATTGAGTATATGTCTTCCTTCGCTCGAAGTTGTCCGTCCTCGTGTGCCACACTACTTCTCCTATATATATATATATATATATATATATATATATATATAGGAGTATATATTCCTCAGGAGTATGCTCCTGAGGAAGATCGAGACGGTCGAAACGCGAGCTATTAAAACCAACAAAGCTACACTGGAGTTGGCCTCGTGACCATCACATTTCTGCTTTTATATATATATATATATATGTATATTTTTCTTTTTTTTTCTTTATTATTTTTTTATTTTTACACCCCTCCATTTCGCAGTTTGACAGTTACCTTCTAATGTGACTTTAAAAGCGCACTGTTTTCTGTTCCCACTTCCATCCATTGCAGTGTAGACAACAAGGGTGGTTTCATTAAATCTATGAGGTGGCCGAACTCCTGATGGGTCAACTGTAATATTTGGCATCAAGTTGCTATTGTCCCTTGCAACCAGCTCGGTCCAGTTGACCATTACAGTAGAGTTAACACTTAGACTCACGCGGATGTCTGAAGGACAGCTCAGAAATATGGACGAAGTAACATCTATGGATATATACCATTGTGTAAGTGACTACCCGAATATGTTAAACCAAAATCCATTCATGCAGCTTGAGGTAAGGATTCACGCCCACCAAATAGCAATATTAAAGAAACCGATAGAATGTTCAGCCCGTGATAGATTAATGGATTCATTGATTGATCGATTGATTGATCGCTCGTTTGATGGTACCTGTTCTACGAAGTAATCTTAAATTATCTGGTTAGTCTAGTTCATTTCTACCTTGGCTGTTTCTTTTGATAAAAAAGCTGACTTTAAATCGTTAGGGAGTAGCGCGAAAACCTCACGGTTCTTCTAGTCTAGAGAGTATAAGCTTTAATAATGATTTAACTATGCTTCTTCTAAGTTTACTTGTACAGTATAAAATAGTTTTCTTGTTTCACTGTAACACCGTTTTCGTGAGCGATTTAAATTTGTTGTCGCCATTGTTACTGTAACATTATGAATTGATTGATGGGGTTGCTGATTTTTTAAACTTTACTATAATATGAAGCGGTACCTCATAAAACTCTCATTTTTTAACATAAAACTGACGTACAATTGACTCACCAATACATTTTAAGGGGAAAGATTGGGTCCCGTTCCATTTTCCATCTAGTCCGCACTGTATTCGACTGACCCGTCCATTGCTTTGGTAACCATGCTGGCACTCAAAAAAGCACGTGGTTCCGCTAACAGGAAATGACGAGCACATGTGTGGATATAAATAGCCATGTTGTGGCGCACTTAGGGAGGAACATGATCGTGCTAGAAAAATGTCACAAACAAATTTATAATTTAGTTAACCAAGTTAAGCTATTTAATCGCTACTAACATCGTCGTAGTCAGAATGAAGTAAGCAAGGATGTTGACTCATCTTCAGTATTACATTTGCGACCTTAATCGGTGATGAAAGACAAAAACAGAACATCAAGAACTAAACAATATTTACAAACCTGTCATTAACAGTTAACAAAGGGGTTTATAATTTTTCAGCGATTCACTTGCTTTTAAAAAGAGTAAAGAAACCTTAGCTGGCGATGTCTCCAAATGCCTTCACTTAAGAAGATTAAGCAATAAAATCCATCGTTCCCGTGTTTTTCATGGCAAAATGAGCAAGAGAACCACTCAATAGCTTTAAAAAGCTCTGAAAGTTTTCCATTATAAACACTGCAGAGAGGATAGGTGCTTAAAACGAGAAAGAACTACGCCATTTTTTATCTACTTTTTAGTCGTGGATGCACGAAGCGAGAAACAACTATTGTTTGTGGTCAGAATATACAAATTTGTCCCTCACTCAAATGTAAACAAATCGATATGTCAACGGCAGATCAATTGATGTTTACTTTACGAAATAATACCGGAATGCCTCTATCGACTTGCCGAAATCATGGCGTGACCTTAAAAGATAATTCTACTTTTTTTAAGGGAATTTCGATTAATACCTATTGCACTCAGCACGTGTGTAATCGATTCAAAGCTATTTGAAAGACGAAAACTGTTATTATGAGTGTAGATGCCTAATGCGAAGAATCTCTGACTCGTCTAGACGTTTGTTCATAGATCCTTAAGCTCACAGAAGGTCTATAAACAGTGAATCTTACGAGCGAAACTTTTTAGCAAAACCTTGATCGAACTTATGGGAAGTCAACGAGCAAATGATTGTGACAGATGATCGCAGAAAAGCGCTTGCGTGATATTCGGTAAGATGTAAGATATGATATCACGTATCAAGCGGAAAAATAGTTTTTAAATTCTCAGTCTGCATTCTGCACCCAGTCTGCAATGTGCATTTCGTACCTGGTCTGCATTTTCTACCCATTCTGCAGTTCGTATTTTGTACTGACCGATAGCCAATGCGAATTCTGACTATTCACCCAGCAACACCTCAGCAGTTCAAAGTAATTCTAGCTGATTATCAACTCTACCCGAGTCACCTATTGGCTGCCTATCTTTACATGTAAAGTGCATGTTATAGCAAAAAAGAATTTACTTATCTTCAAAACTCATTCAAACGTAACAGTTTCCTTTGATTTTGATAATTAATGGAACTATTCCTTTGTGTAATTATTTATTTGTTTCGCATACACTTGCCTCTACAAATTCCAGAAGGTTTGTCCCAGTACCCGATGATGTGTCCAGGTTTGTTCAAGCACGTGACATTCTCTGATCCAGTTAATTGGTATCCATCATTGCAGCTGATTCTGCATGTGGACCCATAAGTGCTGACGCAGTCTCCTACGAAAAAGCCGTTCAACGGAGGAAGTAGAGTTTGGCATCGCAGAACTACGAAGAAATTGTCAAGTCATTGATAATTTAGCAGACTGATGTCAGATGTTGATGAAAGCAATCGTTATATTGATTCGTTTGATTACTTTATTGCACCTTTGTTTTTTTCTTACAGTATACTAGAGTGTTTTGCAGCAAATAATATTTGCATGTCTCCTTCTTGCTGTGTTTTACGTTCAATCAATGGAATGACAAACCCCTCCCCCGTCCCACTCCTCTCATGGGGTTGAAAATGTCACTGAGGGCGATTTCACTTTGAGTGGTGGTGAGTATGGTGTGGTGGTGAAATGACCGTAGACCAAGCTGTCACTCCATATGTAGTCCATTTTTACCTTAATCTAAGGTAGTCATTTCTACCTCATTTCAGGTTCGCCTTTGTTTGCGCTCTGAAGTCCTTAAATAAATGTGTGGAGAAATAGCTCGACTAATAAATCATTTTATGTGCAGAAGAATAGAAGCTTTAAGCTCCACACATGTAAACTTTATAAATTTGTTGAATGCATCGTATAATTAGGATCCAAGAAATCCCTTAAGATAGATTTTAGTTGGCCCCATCTTCGAGGTTATGATTATTCTCTATTTGCTCACCTTCGACAGTTATATAAAATGTGCAGATCTTGTAATTTCCTGCTTGATCAGTGGCGTTGTAAAATACCTGATGCTTCCCTTTGTAATATATATTGGCCACGCCGATTGATGTTACATTTGGTGCTTTACCAGAGTTGTCACTGGCAATAACAGGAGGCCAGGTAATGTTGGTATAATTTCTTGCCCAGTCTGCGTACTTTCTGATATCTCCGGGGCATGTCAAACCAAAGGAAGGGCTTTCAACATCTGAAAAGATAAGAATACCGCAAAGTGATATATTGATACAGTTTATTCCACTATCGAGCTTAAAATTTGTCATCCTTTCTTTTGTACAGGCTAATTCCGATAGCAATAGCGACACGTGTGGCCTCTGTGCCGAACTTACCTTGACCCCTCACCGCAACCCATAGATTATACTGCCAACTTAGATTTTCTCCTCTTCTTTATTTAAGATGACTCAATTTTCTGCAGTTTTGCTGTTTTTAGGGAAACGGACATGCGCATGTTGTGTGTTATAGACTATTGAGGGAAAGTACTTTACGCGCGTAGAACGAACCTTTACAAAGAGTTGTGGTGTTCCTTGACCATTCTCCGTAACCAAGGCAAGACACCACCGGCCACCCAGTCATTTTGTACCCTCTCTGGCAAGTGAAATGACAAATCATATCATATTTGGGAAATGCTGTGCAGGAACTTGGAGTCACGGCACCATCTTTTGGAGCTTGCAAAGGTTTACATTGCACAACTAAAACGATAACAAAGAGACACATAAACATTTTATTGAACCTATCAGTGGTAGATACAATGGCTTCACGGTTAACATGCCGGCCTGCGGATCGAGAGCTTCAGTTTTGCGTTGTAGTCGAGTTCCCTGGGATTGGTTCTGAGACGAGACACTTCACTCCCACAGTACCTCTTTTCACCCAAGAGTACAAGATAGCACCAGCGTGCGAGTTGTTAGAAAACGCTCCTCTCATCGGGATGAAGGAACTCATTCTTGCTCCAGGTATATTTTCGGTCAGACCCAATTGTCTTCTTACGACTTTTGTTCATTTTATACTAGATATTACATTTAAAGGGGAAAAGTGGTCTTCTCAGATTATGAAAGATACTTGTACTAAAATTTCAAATTACAGCTCCTTCAGTGTGGTTCTTTACCTTGACAGTGTGGCGGCTCTCCAGACCAGGTGCCATTGGCTTGACATGTTCTCTCGTTTGATCCGTTTATCATCTGGCTTCCAACGTCACAATAGAAGAGACATTTATCTCCAAAAAAGTTATGAAAAGAGCCAGCTCCGCATCCAGCCTGTAGACTGTGTGGTGGAGGGACGAGGCGTGGACACTGGACCACTAATGCACAATTTTATACGAAAAAGACTGATGAAAACTTTAGAAATAGTGTTAAACAGTGAGGAAAAGAAATTTCCTTCGTTCTAGATAAGAGCAGAGTTGATAACTTAGAAATTCCATAGCCGTTATCCTTGAAAGCGACGTAAACCAAAGAGCAACAAAATGCAATGCCCCATCTTAGGAATTATACCTATCAGAACAAGGAAGTTGCTTAGGGAGAGCAGCAAGAGAGCTGGTTTGTAATCTGGTAGTCTCATTGTCAGTGTTAACATTATCATTAGTGGAGCCTTTTTCAAAGAAGTACCAGAAGTACAGCAGTAGAGCATTGGAAACAAATCACTAAGTGTAATTGTTAATTCTACGTACATTCACAGCTTGTCTCCTTTCCCGTCCAAAAGCCTCTAGAAGTTTCCGAATCTTTCTGACAAACACGGAGGGCAGAGCCTGTCAAATTGCGTCCAGCAGGACACGTGAAGGTACATTGAGATCCATACTGATTGTCTTTGGTGCATTGTAAGGTACCTCCGGGCGGGGCATACAATCTAGGCACACAGCGAATGACTACGATGGAAGTACAAACAGGTATGTTACATGCTGCCTTAAATAATTTTACATATAAAAAAGATACATTCTAAGCCTGCATATGGAAATAACTCACATATTTACCAGTTATGCTAATCAGGGTCTTATTCTGGATGAGACCCAAAACCCCATCTGTTTACAAAACCCCATCACGATTTTAGTAGTCAACGTTTTCAAAAGCAAACGTTGGATTACTGTTTGAAAATTAGTGTGCGCTACGGTGAAAATATGAAATAATTTTATATATTGAGGGAGCTGCATGACGTATGTTTAGGTTAATTCGCCAGGGTTACACACCTGAAACAAAGACCTTAAACCTGCATTCAGCCACGTTTCCAGATTTATCAGAAGCCAAATACCGGATTATGTGTTCCCCAGACGAAAATGACTCCCCAGGTTGCTTTCCGAAGTGTGTGATATTACGTATAAAGCCTGAGTTGTCTGTAGCTGTTGGAGGAGACCATGTGACTTGAGTAGACGTTGTACCTTTGTCTGCATATTTTTCAATATTTGATGGACAGTTGAGAAACTCCGGTCCTCTGATATCTGTCCAGGAATGAAATTATAACTTTTAGCGAAACTAAGTCAAGTAATTTAATTGGTTTGACAGTAACGAACGAAACGCAGCAACCATTAAACTTCTGTTCGCCAGGAGTCATACCTAAAGTTGTACACAAAAAAGAAAGAGCCCTCCAAGTCAATCAACATTTTCGTTTGAGATTTTTGGTCTATGAGGCTGAGTGAACGTATAACTACGCAATTTTAAATTTCTAAGCCCTTAACAAAATGATGTCTGAAGAGGCTAAATTCAATTGCGATTAAACTCTATGTACTTTCTACTTCATCATTGTAACATCCCTCTACAAGCGTGTAAGTGGTCGACTTCAAGTACTTAACCTTTAGAAAATATGACTCGTTACGCAAATTCAAACCTCTGCATGATGGATTTCCTAATGGAAACCAGGTCTTCAGTTGGCCGCAAGTTTTTATCCCTGGCCCAAACTGTTGATATCCATCTTTACAGGTGAACCGACACTCCTGAAGGTAATGTATGGCGGCACTTGTATTGGTGCATAGTGCCGGGCTGGTATCTAGACCCTCTGACTTAATAGCAAAATAGGGACAAGTGAGAGCTGCAATTAAAGAGAAAAAGAAAAGTTGTGGGCCAAACACAGTGTTTCCTTGGTAAACTACGACTCAAAAATACTACACCTCACAAATGAAGAAGATTTTAACACCGTATAAATTATTTTTATCTCACTGATGAAATGTAAACGCAAAAAACAAACAAACAAAAAACCAACCAACACACCCTTAGCTCATTGCAATTTAACACTTCATACTGCTTTGAACAATAAATGAAAGCCGTGCAGCTTTGAGTGGAAAAGACTACCAGTTGCGAGAGCCAAAAATTAAAAGCAATTCAGGTGCAAACTAAGTTTTTTGAATTGAGAAAAACAATCTTTGGTTACCCTGACACTCAAGTGGAGCCCCACTCCACTGTGAAGTCTCCAGACAGGTTCGTCTCGATGATCCTCCAACAGCCTCGTATCCCAATTTGCAAGAGAAAAAGCATGAGGTACCATAGAAGACACTTGGATCAGAGCAGCCATACCCTGTTTTTATTGCATTCTCGGAAATGTTGAGGGTAGGACAGCGAATGGCTGAAACAACGCATCAAAATAAAAAATAAAAAAGGTATCACGTTAGTGAATAAAAAGAAACGCAAAATCGGTATGGATGGTCCTTGCAAAGTAGTCAATGTTTTATGACATAAAACTGTTGACTATACATGCTACAAGGACAGTTTTGGATGAATGTCTTTAAGTGTCTTTCACGCTTACGCAAACATCAGACAAATTTGAGTGATGATTACGTAAGCGTGAAACTCAGAGTCACAGAAAAGGTTATGTATTATGGATTACTGCAATCTTGAAATATAAAACACTCTGCAAACGTATCGAGCAATCTACCGCAACAATGGACCACAACCAAGATTTATAGATCTATATATATATATATATTGTTTAAAAATTGCGAGGATGGACAGCTTCTGACGTCAAAAATATAAAAAAAAATTAATAAAAGACATTTCGGTCCGAGATCTTCTTCAGTTATTTACAACTTTTGAAATAAAAAAAGAAAGCATTCAATGAGATCGAAGTGCTAATGATTACGTAATTACAGGTAACGACTAATGAACTGGTGCTAATAAAAAGATAAAAAACCTAATTACAAAGGAAGCAATGGACAAAATACAAGAAACAAACCCTAAAAAGCTAATAGATAAGAATACTAAATATGTTAAAATGAGTGACGCAACCAATTGCAAAGAAGCAATGCGGCAAGCAAAAAATGGGGAGGCCCACTTTTAACTAAAACTGTAAATCGTAACAAAATCCCCAAACAAGGCCTTTGGAGCCCGAAATGGCAAACTAGCAACAAAATTCCTGGAGGGGCCCTTAAATGATACTAATCATAATAAGATCCCTTGGCAGGGCTTCTGAGCCCAATCCACACACCTAAAAGGTCGACAGAATCCAAGAAAAAGGGCCTTTGAACGATCAGTTAGCAGCGCTTAATATAAGATGGAAAATTAATTATAGCAAATTCTATTTTTCGAATGAAATTCCTTTCCTTTATTCAAACCATGGGGTGGCAGAGAGAACAACTGAATACTCCAATAAGCCTCTTTTGTGATTAAAAGCCTATCGATCTCTTCAGAGTCACTAGGGGCCTGTACCTGATCAATGCATTGGAACGAAAACTCGTACGCGTCCAGTGTGTATGGGGTTTTATTAAAGTGTATCGCTACTTCACAGGTTGTTTTGTTTGTTAGCATAGCAGATTTATGATTTCGAAATCTAACTTTAAAGTCGGTAGCAGTAGATCCCATGTATTGCAGGCGACATTTCCTGCAAGAAGCCAAGTAAATCCCATTTTTAGAATCACAGGAAAGTCTAGAGTGAATGGTATAGTTTTTGCCCGTCTGAAAGCTGAGGAATTATTTAGACAGTACTGTTTCGGCCTTCTGGGCCTCATCAGTGCAGTGCTGGTGCTAGGATGGGGGAGAACCGATATGGTTACCCCGAACGATCCCACATTTGTGGTATCGTCTAAGCCATGTCAGAGTGCTCAAACTAGATAAGCCTAGATATATATGGTCAACCTATATATGTGGTCAGCCTATATATATATATATATATATATATATATATATGGTCAACCTTAGACCATACGAAACAGGACTGTCGCAGCAATAAAACGATGAATCACTCCTAAAGTCCTGAACTGGCTTGATCTAATATTCAGTGCTCCTCCAAGAGTTTAGGGCTCTTTGAAA